CTGAAATGCAGGTGCCACCAAAGTGAATGAAGTTATCAAAGCCTTTCCTGAGAACTGGGTTGATGGGGTGGTCTGGGTAGAGGGTATGGAAGGGAACAGGATTCTTAGGAAGGAGAGATTCTGGCACAGAAGAGGAAGGACAGTGCTGCTTTTACCACTTTACCCTGTACCTATGGAATTTCACCTCCACCATATTTAGAAAAGGAAAGAGATAAATTTTTTTGCAAGACTTTAAGGTACTTGGACAACTGGCCAACCAAGGGATAGGCAGTTCCAGGTTCCCTAGAGGATTCCAGGAGTCCTGGGTGGGCCATTTGCCTATCTGTGAGGTGAGGGATTTAGAGGGCAGTGCTGTGACCACATGGACATCTGCTCATAGGTGAGGAAACCCTAGGAACAGGACAGCCACATTCCCATGGAGTGGAAAGGAGCTAGTATTAAAGACATTTGTCTTCTTTAAAAAAGGAATTTGCTCTTTTAGTTTTTAAATAAATGTCTGCAAAGGGGACAAAACAGGACTGGAGAACATTTGCTGAGCAGGACCAGACCTTTCCTATTCTCTAGCCGCCAGTTGGGGCTTCCGGGAGATGGGATTCCAGAGCCTGGCGAGTGGGTCTGGAAGCACTAAAGTTCTCCTGAGAGTTTCCCAGGTCTCTCTCCCCAGCCTTCTAGAAGGCTGCCAACTCTCCCTTTTTATTTTTTACTCACAAGAGCCATACGTCAGTGTCTTCCATTTCCTCCTGGCTCTATCCAGCTCCCTTAACTTCCCCACTTCCCAGCCATGCCCTCTTTCCAGAGGGATCGCAAGACACGCTGTCCTAGGGCTGTTATTCTTAGTGTGGGAGGTCAGGTCACAGGGAAAGGGGCCTCTTGGTTCCCAGGCATTTCTGCCAAAAGAAAACAGAAGTGCCACTGTGGAGACTTTGCACAGCCAGGCTGGGGAAGCAGAGGTTGGCCAGGGCATGGGTTAGGTGAGGGTCAGCCTGAATACATGGCTCTCTTGTTGGCTTCCCAGAATATTTTTCTGATCATGCTAGACCCTTTGAGGCAGAGAGGGGCCTCTCTCTCTCATTTAAATCAGATGTTATGAGCAGGAAACAACCCATTCCCTCCCAGGTTCTCAGATGTCATTCTCAGGGCAAATGGAGAGGGCTGATTTTGAAGGGAGGAAGGTAAAGAGTGAAGGCCTCAAATGGACTATAAAGATGCATATGTTTTAAAATTAGAATTTGGAAAACATTGGGGGCTATCTCTAGATAGGAACACCATCTTTGTGGGTAGAGATGTTTCAGAAGGGAAGGGAAGAAGGTCAGGGAGAGAAAGGAGAGAAACAGGAACGAGAGCAGAGTCCAGGATGTTCTGCATCCAGCCTAAAAAACGTGGTGACAAAACACGATTTGGGCGTGGGGGCAGGAGAGGGAGGAAGGCAGAAGGCTCAGGGCTCAAGAAAGGAGGATGATTGGAGTCTTTTATCCATGAGAGACCTGAAACAAAATGGGTAAGTTGGCCTTGGTCTCCAACATCTCTGAGAGGAGAAAAGGGAAAGGAAGAGAGGCAGCAAACAGGCAATGGCGAGGTTAACACACAGGTTAATCAGCTGGGAGCACCAGGGGCGAGGCCGAGACCTAAAGGGACCCTGTCAACCTCCTGGGTGTGCATTACTTGTCACCACATCTCCTGGGTCTCTATGTGCGTGTGCACATGGAAGGAAACACCACAGTCAATTCCTTCTGGAGCACAGCTGCTTCCACTGCTTCATGGCTGCCTGCTACTGGGTTGGCTGGGCTCTGGAGATTCATGCCTCTTGCCTTGACCTTGCCCTCAACAGGCTGTGCTGCTGGAGGCTTCTGAATGACTTCTCTGGTCTATGGCAAGCTACTTGGTGGGCCCAGTGCCTGGGCCTCCACTGGCTGCAGGAACCAGCCATGCCCTTGTCGCCACGGGTTCCTGGGGACCCAGCCCTGAGGAGATTTTCTGCATGTAGCCAGAATGCCATGGTCGAGGGACCATGTTTGTGTGAGGTTGTTGACAGGATCCCTTTAAGAGGCAGCTTTTAACCCTGACCCTTCCACCCACCTTCCCACTGTCCCACAGCCCATCAACCTTCCCAAGTGGACCCTGAAGACCCCTTCAGATCCAGCGTTTAGGTCAGCCTCCTCCTCCCACTCTTTCAGTTGTCCCTTCCCCCCACCCATTCCCACCCACTACTAGAAACAAGGCCCAACGCCCCCATTAGGTCAACAGGTGTCCAAGGGGGACACTGGCCAAACCCCTAAGCAGGCAGGGCCTGGGAGAATTACTTTTCCCCTAAACTCTCTGGAATGTGAGAGCTTAGTGCTCTGTTATACTCTCTTTCCCATTCTCCTATTCCCCCCTACCCCAACCCACCCCCACACACCTGTTTTTGCCCACTTCCTTATTTGCTGGAAACCATTGGAAATGTGGATTTCGGGGGTATAATGGAAGAAAGAGGATGAAAAAAATCATAGGTGTTTTTTTCTCTTATACCTGCCACTCCTTCTTTCCCTGGTGACAGATCCCAAATGGCAGGGAAGACACCAGGGTTAGGGACAGGTTTTCCTGGCTCTCCCTGAATGGTAAACCAAACCTCTTCGTGTCCAGCTCCTCAGAGCCATGCAGGCCTGATCGCCCAGATGGGATGGTGCTTTCAGGGTTGGAAGTCTTTTCCTTGCAATCCCTAGACCCTGCAGAATCAGTAGATGTCCCCTTTCAAGATGGGCTCTCCCTTGGCCATCCTCAGGAGGTCTCGTGCTCTCCCCTCCAGGCTAAGCAGCAGCACCCCTGTGATTGCTCACACCCCAGGGGTAACACATTCTCCCTCGTGCCGCTGGCCCTCCACTCACGGGCTTACGTGGGCTGAGATAATGTAGACCAGATTGATGCAAAGGTATCATATGATGCATTTCACATGCACAAGATTTTTGGATTTTCCTCTCTTTTGGATTATCTGTGTCCTGATGCACCTCCTCCACCGGAGCTATTCCAAGTTGAAAGAGGCAGCATGGTGGTTAGGGGTGGGGTGAGGTGTCTGGGTTCAAATCCTAACTCTGACACTTATTAGCTGGGTAACCTTGAGCAAATGACATAACCTCCCATGCCTCAGTTTCCTTACCTATAAAGTGGGATAACCATAGGATCCTGGTGAGGAATAAAGGACAGTAGCATTAGCTATTGTCATGATTAACCAGAGGGGATCTGTTAGGTCGGATTCACAGGGTTAATCTTGGGGGTGGGACAGCAGAGGGGAAGGCAAAGCCCAGGTGTCTGTGGAAGGAGGAAGGAAGAGGCTGAAGTTTCTGGAATCCTGAGCTTACCTCTCATTTGTCTCTAAGGCCTTTTCTGCCCATCTTGAGTTACTACTAAGTAGTGGGACTGTCTTGAGACTCTAAACTCTGGCTGGTACCATTTTGAGATTAGTGACAATATGCAAATTATCATGGCTAATTTTTGAGGCTCAAGTTCATCTAGACCAGGGGTGGGCAACCCCTGGCACGCGTGCCAAACATGGCACGCCAGTAACTTTTGCTGGCATGCGAAACCCTCTCTTATAATCTTCCATTTACAATTTTTTCTTAATATTGATTTATTTTTCAGATAAATTCAGTGTAGGTGCATCTTAGATAAATAATTTTACATAACAAGTTATCTTAAAGGCCATAGACATGGATTGATGAGAGAGGGGAAGAGCAATTTCTATGCCTCTGCCTTAACTCTCCCTGCCTTCCTAGATCCAACCAGTGTTTTGGTTTCACCCACATACGCTTGTGAATCTTTGTTCTCAGTGATGAATTTTGTTAAGTCTCCTAATAGGAGTAGCCTGATGGATGAAAGTAGTAGCTCGTGCATATCTGTGAAGGTCACAAAATATAAACCTGATGTAAAATCTCTGTCATCAGTGATGCAGCAGCAAAAGTCCCACTGATAATATCAAACGGAGACATAAACTTTTCTATCAGACTATCAGTGTACATGTATACATTAAAAAATAAATGTATTTTTCATCATCATATACTGTGTTTTTGTTGCTCGAATGAATTTTATT